GGGGTGATTAATCTTGACCTACTTACTATACAATCATGCCATTGCAACTTATAGGAAATCGCTAACATTTTGAATCATCCACGTGTCTACTCATTTCTACACATTCCCGTACAATCGGGCAGCGACGCTGTTTTACGCGATATGAAACGAGAGTACAATAGCGATCACTTCCGGAAAATTATGGATTTCATGCTGAAGAAGTGCGTGTTTGATGTTTTTCTTGCCTAGAACATCTTTTTGTCGAAATCATTATCTAATAGATTAATAGAATAGAGCATTTATGGAATAACGTAGATTTTTATACCGTATCACCCCCGTGTACATTTGTCTTATTTGCATTTCTTTGTAGCGTCCCCAACATCTACATCGCCACCGACATGATTTGTGCTTTCCCCACCGAAACAGAAGAAGATTTCGAAGAAAGCATGCAGCTTGTGCGGGATTACAAATTTCCGTCACTTTTCATCAATCAGTTCTACCCTCGTTCCGGCACACCAGCCGCACGAATGAAAAAGGTGAGGCACGCGCAGAGTAGCGTCATTCGTTGCAGAAAAACAGATGAAAGAAGATAATTGAATTCAGACCATGATGATTGAGTTGTTTTGGAGCTTAAAAGACAAAACGCACCTAATTTTTCGAAACGACTTTTTTGCTGCTCGTAGGTACATGCTTGTCTATCCAAGACGAGTAGTTCTAAGAAAAAAGCCGAAATTGAGCAAACTCTTATAACTGGATCAGTCTTCAGACTGAAACTCTTACGAATCACCCATAGTGCTGGAATCAATTTCTGTCAATAAATACCTTTTTTAGATCGATACAATAGAGGCCAGGCGTCGCACGGCAGCAATGTCTGCGCTATTCCGAGAATATAGTCGATATACGCCTGAACGAATCGGAGAGGAACATAATGTATTGGTCTGTGAAATGGCGTCTGGTAAGTTTTCGACTTTTATTTCGATGTCTAATTGACTATGTCCTGCAAAACAATGTGGAACCAGTTAGTGAGGAATAGCAAGTCCAAACTCATAAATTCGAGTCGCGCAATCCGATGTGTTCAACCCCCATCTGCAAAACCCAAACACCAGTATCCTTCATGCTTCTACTTTAAGTTGTAGAAAATTTTTGAAGCAGGCGCAGGAGGGAAATCGGTGGAAACGCGTCGTGATCTGGTCAGATTAGGCAATTAGCTGCACAAAATTTTTTTGCAATCAAATATTATCAAAAAATTGCAAAACTAGTAGAACTTATTTTAAATGAAA